AAAACACACGACACGACACAAAATGGACCAAGAACCAAAGAAAATAACCTAGAGTGGGAAAAAATAAATGCAAAATAAACGAGGAAAACACGACAAAAATGGAACGAACAAGGACTAACTAGGCGGTGACTAGCAAGGCGGAGTACCAAAGGTTGGTAAGCGAGGCGAGGACTAGCTTGGCGAGGACTAGTCGGGCGTAGTACCAAAGGTTGGTAAGCTAGGCGGATGGGAGCTAGGCGAGAACTAGTTAGGCGAGGACTAGTTAGGCGAGGACTAGCTAGGCGGGGACTAGTTAGACGGAGTACCAATAGGAACTGGGCGATGACTAGCTAAGCGGGGACTAGCTAGGTCGTAGTACCAAATGTTGGTAAGCTAGGCGGGGACTAGCTAGGCGGAGTACCAAAAGTTGGAAAGCTAGGCGGATGGAAGCTAGGCGGGGACTAGCTAGGCGGAGTACCAAAAGTTGGTAAGCTAGGCGGATGGGAGCTAGGCGAGGACTAGCTAGGCAGAGTACGAACGGGAGCTAGACGAGGACTAGGAAGGGGAATAGCTAGGCGGATGGGAGCTAGGCGAGGACTAGCTAGGCAGAGTACGAACGAGAGCTAGACGAGGACTAAGAAGGGGACTAGCTAGGCGGAGTACCAAAAGTTGGTAAGCTAGGCGGATGAGAACTGGACGAGAACTAGCTAGGCGGAGTACCAGAGGTTGGTAAGCTAAGCGGATGGGAGCTAGACGATGACTAGCTAGGAGAGGACTAGCTAGGCGGAGTACCAAAGGTTGGTAAGCTAGACGAGGACTAGCTAGGCGGATGAGAGTTAAGTGAGGACTAGCTAGGCAGAGTACCAATGGAAGCTAGGAGAGGACTAGCTAGGTGGGAATTAGCTAGACAGAGTACCAAAGGTTGGGAAGCTAGGAGGATGGGAGTTAGGCGAGGACTAGCTAGGCGGTGACTAGCAAGGCGAAGTACCAATGGTTGGTAAGCTAGGCGAGGACGAGTTAGGCGGAGTACCAAAGGTTGGTAAGCTAGGCGGATGAGAGCTAGGTGAGGACTAGCTAGGCGGGGACTAGTTTCGCAGTATGACGAGCTCACGATTTTCGTGATATGACGAGCTCATGGTTTCGGCGATTTGACGAGCTCATGGTTTCCCGATATGACGAGCTCACGGTTTCGCAATATGATGATATCATGGTTTCGGCGATCTGACGACCTCAAGGTTCTTGCGATGTGACAAGCTCAAGGTTTCATGCAATAAGATGAGCTCATAGTATTAGCGTATGACGAGCTCATGATCTCAACATGAGATGGGCTCGCGATGCTTGAGAGAAAACGAGCTCATGATATAAAGTCATATGAGGAGCTCATGATTCCGACGAGGTGACGAGCTCAAGGTCTCTGCAGTGTGCCGAGCTCATGATTCCAACGAGATGACGAACTCAATGCCTCTGCAGTGTGACGAGCTCATGATTTCGACGAGGTGATGAGCTCAAGGTCTCTGCAGTGTGACGAGCTCATGGTTTCGGTGATATGACGAGCTCACGTTTCGCAGTATGACGAGCTCATGGTGTCAGCGATGTGACGAGCTCATGATTTCGACGAGGTGACGAGCTTAAGGTCTCTACAGTGTGACAAGCTCATTTTTTCAACGATATGACGAGCTCACGGTCTGTGCAGTGTGACGAGCTCATGATTTTGGTGATATGACGAGCTCACAGTTTTCGTGATATGACGAGCTCACAGTTTCACAGTATGACGAGCTCGTGGTGTCGGCGTTGTGACGAGCTCATGATTTTGACGAGGTGACGAGCTCAAGGTATCTGCAGTGTGACGAGCTCATGATTCCGACGAGGTGACGAGCTCAAGGTCTCTGCAGTGTGACGAGCTCATGATTCCGACGAGGTGACAAGCTCAAGGTGTCTACAGTGTGACGAGCTCATGGATTCGATGATATGACGATCTCACACGGTTTTCGCTATATGGCGAGCTCACGGTTTTGCGGTATGACGACACAGTTTTCGCTATATGATGAGCTCATGGTTTCGACGATATGACGAGCTCACGGTTTTGCAATATGACGAGCTCACGACTTCGCGATATGATGAGCTCATGGTTTTGGCGATGTGACGAGCTCAAGAATTCCTGTGATGTGACGAGCTCAAGGTTTCCTACAATAGGATGAGCTCATAGTATTAGCGTATGGCGGGCTTATGACTAGCTAGGCGGAGTACCAAATATTGGTAACATAGGCGGATGAGAGGTAGACGAGGACTAGTTAGGCAAAAGTTAGCTAGACGGGGACTAGTTAGGCGGAGTACCAATGGGAGCTAAGCGAGGACTAGCTAGGCGGGGACTAGCTAGACGGAGTACCAAAAGTTGGTAAGCTAGACGAGAACTAGCTAGGCAATGATTATCTATGCGGAGTACCAAAGGTGGGTAAGCTGGACGAGGACAAGCTAGACAGAGTACCAAAGGTTGGTAAGCTAAGCGGGTGGGAGCTAGGCAAGGACTAGTTAGGCGGGGACTAGCTAGGCGGAGTACCAAAAGTTGGTAAGCTAGGCGAGGACTAGCTAGGTAGAGTACCAAAGGTTGGTAAACTAAGTGGATGGGAGTTAGGCGAGGACTAGCTAGGCGAGTATTAGCTTTGTAGGGACTAGTTAGACGGAGTACCAAAGGTTAGTAAGTTAGACAAATGGGAGTTAGGCAAAGACTAGCTAGGCGAGGACTGAGGATTAGCTAGGCGAGAACTAGCTAGGCGGTGACTAGTTAGGCGGAGTACCAAAAGTTAGTAAGCTAGACGAGGACTAGCTAGGCGGTGACTAGCTAGGTGAAGTACCAAAGGTTGGTAAGGTAGGCGAGGACTAGCTAGACGGAGTACCAAAGATTGGTAAGCTAGCCGGATAAGAGCTAGACGAGGATTATATTGGCGGGGACTAGCTAGGCGGAGTACCAAAAGTTGGTAAGCTAGGCGGATGGGAGCTAGGCGAGTACTAGCTAGCCGAAGATTAGCTAGGCACTGACTAGCTAGGTGGAGTACCAAAGGTTGGTAAGCTAGGCGCATGAGAGCTTTACGGGGACTAGCTAGGCAGAGTACCAAAGGTTGGTAAGCTAGGCGAGGACTACCTAGGCGGAGTACAAATGATTGGTAAGTTAGGCGAGGACTAGCTAGGCGGGGACTAGCTAGGCGGAGTACCAAAAGTTGCTAAGCTAGGCGGATGGGAGCTAGGCAAGTACTAGCTAGACGAGGACTAGTTAGACAGTGACTTGCTAGGCGGAGTACCTAAGGTTGGTAAGCTAGGCAGATAAGAGCTAGACGAGGACTAGTTAGGCGGTGACTAGCTAGAAAGAGTACCAAAGGTTGGTAAGCTAGACGGATGGGAGCTAGGCGAGGACTATCTATGTGGTGACTAGATAGGTGGAGTACCAAAGATTGGTAAGCTAGGCGGATGGGAGCTAGGCGAGGACTGGCTAGGCGGTGACTAGCTAGGCAAAGTACCAAAGGTTGGTAAGATAGGCGGATGAGAGCTAGGCGAGGACTAGTTAGGCGAGGACTAGCTATGCGGTAGCAAGCGGGGAAGTCCAGTCAAGTAGAAGACAGATCTACTTACAGACGGATACCACTAACTTACTATCACTATTTATCTCCATATTACCCGCTTCTAATTGATGACTGGCTAATATATAAGTGTTGACCTAAGCCCCTGTGTAGTGGCTCGACTCCCGAACCGTACGTGAGCAGCCCCGTACGACTCTTCCTAAGAAG